CAATGAATGAATGGAATCCCAAAATCTCTGTAGATGTTCATTGAAATGAAAAATAAACAACCTAAATTTTTTTTTTTTTTTAAAAAAAGGAGATTCTTTTGATGATTACTGGGTCGGGCTAATAAAGAATCCGAGAATGAGTTAAAAAGAATGGAATATCCACTCAAGATCCAAAGAGTAATAAGACATAATTTATGCTTTCAAAAAGTAAATAAATCATCTGACTAAAAGGATGCCACTCCATTCTGCTTTAAGGATAAAATGGCCTTTTTAGGCCCGTCGACAGGGAGCATTCTTTCATGAAGGAATCCTACCCTTCCACCCTCACAAGTGGATGGTGTGGAACAGCCTCCTTCTGTCTTACTGCACCTGCTTCCAGCTCAAAGTGGGGCTCAGCTGAGCACACAAAGCTTTTTTTTAACTGGCTGATTTTTGTTTTTAATTAATGAAAGTTTACAGAGACTTTGGATTTCTGTTCATTTGTTGTTGCACTTTTCTCCCTGACCACCCCTCCCCCTCAGTTCACTCTTCTCTTTGAAAGTAAAACAAAAATTTTTCATTGTTATACAATCCCTCCCCCCAAGTCCACTCCCCTATGCTACCTTCATTCTGGACTCCTGTCATTACAGTAATACCTAATCACATATCCCTTTTAAACAGTTCCCTCCCTCATCTGTTTCAAAGCAGTGTACATAATTTACCCCATCTTTCTCAGTCTCCCCTCAACCCCAATGTCAGTCCCGTTTTACAACAGTGGCACTATGCAGTATTTGTCCTTTAGTGACTGAGATATTTCACTCAGCATAATGTCCTCCAGGTTCACGCACTTTGTATAATATGTCATGAGTTCCTTGTTTTTCAATGCAACGTAGTACTCCATTGACACAGAAAGCTTTTTAAAATGATGTTATGTGCCTTTTCTTTTTCCACTCTCAGCTCACTGAACACTGTCTTAAATAGGAAGAAACTGCAGTTGTGATGCTCTTGGCAGCCTTGTTCGCTGGACGTGGCTTGCTTTGTGAGCAAGAAGATGATACATAGTTGTGTTCTCGGGAAGAAGGAGGCGTGTTGACACAAACGCTCTCTCCACCTCTTCATCCTGAAACCACACGTCCTTTCTTCTCTCCTGAGGGTGGGGAAGGTGCCTGCCAGCCCCTGAGCTGCTCATCTGGACATGGCATTTGACAACTCTTCCTCTGTCCCCCCCACATTTGTCCGGATCACTCTGGGTCAGGGACACTTGACGATGGCTGTCTGCTTTCATTCCATCTCCGTGGCCTCTCCCCTCCCTTCCTGCACACGGCCTTCCCCTCCCTCTCGGCCCCCACACTGCCTCCTCCTCCTTCCCCTCCTTGGAGGCGTCCTCACCACGTTTAGGCCTCACTGCCCCCGTGGTCATCTTGCTCCGTGCCCTCGGTTCCCGCTGCTGCCCTCTTGACCTCACGAGTGTGGCCTTCCCTTTCTGTCACATGGAAGACCACGACATTCCTATCACTAGTTTTCCGCTGCCACCTCCTCTCAGCTTCCGCTGGTCCCAAACACCATTGGCATTTTTTATTTTCCTCCCTAAGAATAATCCTGTTTCTATTGTTCGCCTGATGAAATAGTTTCTGGAATTTCTCTTTGGTAACCAGATTGAAATCCATACCCTGGCTCTGGGGCCAGACACGCCCTTCACGTCAAGATTGCTCATGTTATGTCTATATTAGGTATGGGGATTACAATAAGATTTTTTTTAAAGTCTCTAGAGCAGAGATTGCCTCAAAATTCATGTTTAAATTAAAATACAAAATAATACTTGAAAAGTGGGATGTCTGGTTAATCAAATAAAGTCAACTATAAGAAAGCACCCACTTTAAAAATCCACTCTAAGTAATATCTTTAATGATGAATTGCTAATAGATAGATTATTTTCATGAGTAGTGATGGAGACAATTAAATACTAGTTAAGATTTCTTATTCTAGAATATAAATTTCTAGTTCACTGATTAAAGGGAAGAAATGATCATATTTCAATTTGCTGAAAAATACCACATTGGCATATTGATAATTAGCCAGTAAAATTCATTTCCCCAACAAACTCAGAGTACAATATTTCAGACTTCAGCTTTTCTTTAATTTATGGATTTTAAAAAGCCAATAATCCGTTAGTTAATATCTTATGTCATCAATGCTCTGCTTCTTGTCTTTGGTTTTTAGATCTATCTATATCTATCTATCTATCTATCTATCTATCATCTATCTTTGGTGATTGATTGGATAGAGCTGCACTGGTTAGTGCATGGATATTTGTAATATCATTATCATTACGTGCTTCCCATTCAACTACAACTCCTTGCAGTCCTATAAACAGCGGACCGGAACCATGCTCTTTTCCTGCTCCATTCTCCCGATTTCAAACATGCTCAATCAAGCCCTTTGACTTGAGATTCGTCATAATAAGAAATTAGAAGTGCTTGGAGGATAGGTAAGCACACCAGTGACAACTGAAGACAGCCAGGAGGTCCCAAAGAGCAGGAAAGGGGCCTTGGTTGTTGTATTGACCTTCAATTCTATGTAGTGCAGTTGTTGGAAGATCGATTGTATTTCAAAGGTCATTTTTTCCTAATGGAAGAAATACTTTCATGGCATTCATTTACCCTCTCAATTTCTTTTTATGAATTCTCAGGGTGATGTTGGCGACCCAGGAATGCCTGGGAACCCTGGTCCTAAAGGATTCCGAGGACAGACAGTAAGTGGCCTATCATCCCAGATGTGATTATGCTTTCTCGGGAATTCTCTGTCTCTTATGCTGTAATAATAAATGTGGACCATTGATCCAACCCCCAGTCCGAAATGCCACTCGTTGGCTCTGTGACCTTAACACAGCTTTTCAAGCTCTAGGTTTCTGACAAGAGAGTTGAACTCAGTGACCCTTAAGGTCATTTATGTTCAGCTCTACAGATCTGAGTTCTCATGAATCTGGGCTATTTTAGAGATCCACACATTGATGGCTGGTGATTCCAGGAAATGCTAGTATCTTCCAGCCCTTCCTGAGGCACAGATGAAACCCCAGGACATTAACTCGGCTGGTGGAGGGGAAGTTGCCATCATTTTGCTGTGCCTCTGAGGGATTTTGATGATTCCAGTCTTGATGACCAAGGTCAAGTTAACGAAGGCTGTGGGGAAATTCTAATTAGCAGAGCGCAGAGTAGAGTTTTCTGCACACTTATAAAAGTGCTGAGCAGGCAGATGCTTATTTGCAGTATCAGTGGTCATCACCAGCGTGAGAGAGGCAGCTAAGGGAGGCGTTCCATCTGGCCGCTGGGCGCTCAGCAGCGTCCACACCCGTTACCTCTGTGCGTGGGCCCGAGACAGCCCCCCAGGTCTTCTCATGCGGGCGAGGAAGCATCTTCCTCACTTGGTCTCTTCCACGTGGGAGGCTTTCCCTTTACGATCTCTGTCATCTGGGATGTTTGCTTTGTGTCCACTCGTGCCAATCTAAGTTCCTGACCAATTCAGATTTAAAGGCAAAGCCAGTGCCAACGTGTGTCAGTAATAAACACACGAAGGGAAAGGCTGTTTCCCAGTGATTAAGAATGGCTAGTTTATGCTACGAAGGAGCAAATTTCCTTGGCTTGGATGGCTGGTTGGTCTCTGCATTTCTTTTGGCTTTAATTCAAGTCTTATTCGCTCACACTCCCTCACTCACTGCCATGGAACTGGAATGGCCTCATAGCTGACCTCAGTAGAGTGGAGGCTGCAGATGACCCAGGAGGACACAGCCCATCTTTGAAATCCTGCAGCGTGACTGGTGGACTCACCGGAGAGGCACCGCCTGTGGGACAGCAGTGAAACCCCCCAAGGGCCATGCCACCAGGGCTCCCTAACGTCTTATTTAAAGACCTGTGATAAACCCTGTGAACAGAAGTGTCGACTAACACAAGCTCCTGTCTACAGATCTCTCTAGGTTTCAAAGGTGAACAGGGCTCACCAGGATCCCAAGGGCCTCCCGGACGGAGAGTAAGTTTGCCTGAAAGGCCAGCCAGTGCTTCATGGGTTCCAGGGTGACCGTGAAGACTTCCCGGTACCTTTGAATTCCACTGTTGACCAAGAACATTGACCGTTGCGTGAACTGCCGAAGGAACATCTCTGTCTTGCTTAGAGTCAAGGATGCTGAGACTTGTTCTGACATACTTGGGGGGTGTAAGCCAGAGGGGCGAGTCCCTGGAGAAGGACATCAACACTGTGCTTGGTAAAGTAGATGGTCAAAGGGGCAGAGGATGACCGCCAGTGCGACGCGTTGACGCGGTTGGTGCTCGGCCAGCAGCAGTAGTGAGTCTTTTACCCTTTAGCATCTCTACGAGTGGGAGCCCACTCACTGACCCTGAACAACAGTGTCCAATGGGAAGGGCACAGAATTTAAGGTCAAAGGCATTGAGTTTAAAACCAAGTTCCGTTTCTTCACAGCTATGTATTTATCTGTAAAATAGAGTTGCTAGCACCAATCCAAACCAAAGGCAGTTGTGAAGCTAGGAACCAGCTAGGAACACCCTTTCTAAACCATCACATGCAATGCAAATTGTAGCTGTCAGCGTTAATTGCCATGGAGATGGGATTGGAAAAGCGTCGCACAGCTGCCGGGCAGAGTTCCTTCGTGCTAGACAAATTCATAAGGACCTGCCAAAGGGTAGCCCACTAGTGTTCCCTGCCTGTCCTCAAAACTGAGACGTCCAAGAGATTTGGAAGTAGAACCACAACTCTCTAGTAAGACTCTATTATGACTTTTTCTGAGGAGTATTTCCAGGTGAAATCAGGCCCGTCACCCATGGATGGAACACCTTATCTCTGCTTCTCACTTCTGTTGTCTTATTTACGTGTCTTATTTACAAGGACTTATTTACATGCCTGTCTCCCCTAATGAGCTCCCAGCTCAATGTTGCCAGCACCAGTGCTTCGTGTAGTGAGGCCCAACGCAGTGTTGCATGTACAGAAAACCTATTATCTTGTTCTGTGCATTGTGCATCAGAAGACATTCTGACTGCCAGGTGGAGTCCTGTTTCTTGGGACCTTGTAAAGAACACAAAATACAGAGGGTTTTATGGATGGCTGATTCAAAGAGAAATGAGAATCAACCAGCAATAAAGGGCACTTTCTTTCTTTCTTGCTGAGGACCTGGTGAATGTTATCATCAGGAGGACGAGAGTGTCTGGACCACACAGGAAGTTGGGTCCAGTCTGGCTTTGTCTCCTGACAGGATGCTGGAGCTCCTCCTTGGGTTTCCACATCCTCCTGATCTTGTGACTGGTCCCTGCTGGTCATGATGGGATGCAGCTTCTTTGACTTGGTTCTGATCCTCTGCAATTGTGTGCTGCTTACTCTGTTTCTTAGCTAGAAATGTCTCCCCTCTCTGCTTGACTTTCTGTTTTCTGCCATAAGTCGTCAAGGAAGGATAAGTGGGTCATCTAGTGAAATGCAGAAATCAATGCTGCGTCCAGGTGGTAGAACCACACATGCCCCACCAGTTCTAGTTAGCACCATCAGCACACAGGGAATCTTCTAGAAACATTCTGTAGGGTACCCAGGCATTCTATAGATATTTAAATGTTTACTGGATGAGTGGTATAGATGAATAGATTAGACCGATGAACAGATGGGTGGATGGATAGATGGATGGATGGACAGATGGTGGATGGATCATTAGGTGAATGGATAGATTGCCTAGATGGACAGGTGGGCAGGTGGGTGGGGGATAGATGGAGGGATGGATGGATGGATGGATAGATGGTGGATGGATTGTTAGGTGAATGGATAGATTGCCTAGATGGACAGGTGGGCAGGTGGGTGGGGGGTAGATGGAGGGATGGATGAACGGATGGATGGATGGATGGATG